ATAATTTAGATGATGTATTGGACTCTAATAATGGGCGGATTAATGACTTGTCTTTACAAATAAACTATTGTTTTACACCTCAACTTAGTTAGGTCTCTCTCTCTCTCTCTCTCTCTCTCTCTCTCGTAAACAATTATTGAATTTAATAAATTAATGTGATATAATATATTGTAGAAAGGTATATTAAAGGAAGATTTAGTTTTAACACAGACTCACTTACCTGATATTAAATACTGGAACACTGTTAGTGATGTATAATTTGATGTTGTTTATTGTTCACCCTGTTAAGTTCAACTGAGAGGTCTACTCTGTTCAAGGATATCTTTATATTCATGTGACCTATTATTAACAATAGGCCACGATTTAACCAACTTTAACATCTGAAATAAGAAAAAGTCTTGGCGTGCTGTCTAGAAACCGGTCAACCGCCATGGATATGTTTTTGAGAGAGAGAAAGAGAGACGTTGGGGGGGGGGGGGGTAACGTCCACTCCACACAAAGTAGGTCATCTTCGGGTCTAACTTATGGTTCATTTGTCCACGAGGTTGGACAGGCGACCCTACTCCTTGTCACGCCTCTTGACTCAATGACAGACCTTATGATGCAACGCGCACGTGTTAAACAGTAAAAAGGTTAGACCATGTAATTATTATGATTGGTAATATTGAGTCACTGATATAAAAACTTTGAAAGAGAAAGAGAAACCACTGGACCCTAATTCACGAAAACTTAAACTAACACCCTTAAAATTGATTTTAACAAAAATCAAATTTTATCTTAAACAAGTGCCTAATTTGTTCTGTGCAAGCTTTGAAATCTATTTGGAACCCTTCTTACTGCTGATATTGTTTTGATCATTCCATGAGCTTCAAACAATTCTAGGAACTCTAGACTCTACATGCAAATGACAAAAGATTGATGGTTTCAAAAATACCTTATAATTCATGTGTTCACTTACATTCAGATCAGAATTACATTTCATCAGGTTAGCAATGACAAAATCATTTTCAATTTTAATTATAGATTCAAACAAAGTTTTCAGTATACGCGTTTTTGAAAAAAAAAATCATGTCATTTTTTATAAACAATTTTCATCAAGAATACCGCTTTCTAATATGCGGCACAGTGGAACATTAATTAATTTATCTATCAAGCCCAAAGTCTGACACCCAATATGAAATAATCGAATTTTAATATTTAAAAATATGTTTTGGGTTACTCTGTTTTCTATTCAAAATCACCAAGATAATTTATTTTATTTTGGCCATATAATTTAAAATTGCGGCATTGTGGACAATACTATTAAATCGGTTACCATGAAATGGCGTTAGCGACAATTTTAAAAGCCCAAGCGACTTGAGATTAAAATAAAAACCCGTCTGTTCGTTTCCACCCCGTTTAATGGTTTTACAGATGGTCTGACTATAGGTAAATACAGCTCATAGCTAATATAAAATAAAATATAGGTAAATACAACTCATAGCTTATATATATATATATTAAAATATATTAAAAGGGTGCTTACCGTAAAAGGATATCATACATTCTAAAAGATTAAGTAGAAAATACCATTAAAGAAATTTATTTAAATGCCTACATGTTTCGCCGTTATCTATTATTGCCTTGAATACCTAACGGCGAAACATTTAGGCATTTGAATAAAATTTCTTTAATGGTATTTTCTACTTAATCTTTTAGAATATATATATATAAATAATAAAATAAAGGTAATGCAGCTTATAGCTAATATATAGGTAAATACAGCTCATAGCTAATATATATATATATGATAAAATATTGGTAAATACAACTCATAGCTTATATATCATAATAAAATATACATACATACATACATACATACATACATACATATATACATACATACATACATACATACATACATACATACATACATACATACATACATATATACATACATATATACATACATACATACATACATACATACATACATACATACATACATACATACATACATACATACATACATACATACATACATATATACATACATATATACATACATACATACATACATACATACATACATACATACATACATACATACATACATACATACATACATACATACATACATACATACATACATACATACATACATACATACATACATACATACATACATACATACATACATACATACATACATACATACATACATACATACATACATACATACATACATACATACATACATACATACATACATACATACATACATACATACATACATACATACATACATACATACATACATACATACATACATACATACATACATACATACATACATACATACATACATACATACATACATACATACATACATACATACATACATACATACATACATACATACATACATACATACATACATACATACATACATACATACATACATACATACATACATACATACATACATACATACATACATACATACATACATACATACATACATACATACATACATACATACATACATACATACATACATACATACATACATACATACATACATACATACATACATACATACATACATACATACATACATACATACATACATACATACATACATACATACATACATACATATATACATACATATATACATACATACATACATACATACATACATATATACATACATACATATATACATACATACATACATACATACATACATATATATATGACTTGCAATGGTTCTCATCAAGATTTGTATTTAGAAATTTGTTGTTCCTGATATTATGACAAATGTCTGGTAAAACAAATATTGATTTTATGATACAAATGTTAATTTTAGTGTACACATGTCGAAATACGACAACAAAATGAAGAAATATCCTACTATTTAATACCGTCACAGTCAATGATTCAAGGCAACAATTCATTGGACTGTAAATATGTCAACTAACCATTTTACTCTCTACACGACTCTATAGAAATACACACCTAGCGTTACAGTGGTATAAAAATTATACAAAAGTAATGAAGATTTAATATACCATGACGGATTCAAACTTGGGATAGTATCTTAGCGATAAATAAAACATGGTGTCCTTTATATTTAATTCAACAAGGTAGCATATGAGAGAGAAAGAGAGGGGTGGGGTGGAGGGGGGGGGGGGTAACGTCCACTCCACACAAAGTAGGTTATCTTCGGGTCTAACATATGGTTCAGTTGTATTTATAATTCACCTGCTCGAAGGGGTCTTTATCCGTGCGGTGGAAACCGGAGGACCCGGAGAAAACCCACGAGGTTGGACAGGCGACCCTACATTCCTTGTCACGCCTCTTGACTCAATGACAGACCTTATGATGCAACGCGCACGTGTTAAACAGTGAAAAGGTTAGACCATGTAATTATTATGATTGGTAATATTGAGTCACTGATATAAAAACTTTGAAAGAGAAAGAGAAACCACTGGGCCCTAATTCACGAAAACTTTAACTAACACCCTTAAAATTGATTTTAACATCAATCAAATTTTATCTTAAACATTTTGCTGGTTACGAATGCCTAATTTATTCTTCGCTCGGTGCAAGCTTTGGAATCTATTTGGAACCTTTCTTACTGATGATATTATGGATTAGCAATACAAAGCATGGGGTAAACGGTGTGGTCCTAAAAACAAAGGTAACAAGAAGGGGTAAACGTGGTGGTTCTAGAAACAAAGAACCCCAAAAAAGTAGTCATTGAAGTGTTCTTTAGAAAGTCTGCAATAAATAAAACCCTTGCCAGCAACGTTTCAACAATTAACCATAAAGATTGGATCTATATTCATCCAAAAATAGCATTATGGAACGCTCGTTCGGTCAGAAACAAAACTCTTGAAATTACTGAATATATATTGGAAAATAGTCGTGATATTATTGTCCTGACTGAAACATGATTATACGAAACAGGCGATGAATCAAACATTGCAGAACCCGTCCCTCCAGGGTATACACTTTTAGACATGAACCCCGTGATAAAAGCACGGGTGGTGGACTCGCAGTCATTTTTAGAGAATATCTTATCGTCAAAATCATTAAAACGGCTGTGCTATATACATCAATGGAATTGATGGAATTAGTTAGTGACGTTTACAAGCCAGGCCTTGCATATATTATGTGTTTACAGCCCCCCCCCCCCACCACCACCATCGGTTAAAAATCGTATTAAAGATTCCCAGTTCCATAATGATTTTTTACTTTTGTTACTAGGAGACTTTAATATCCATTAAGAATATTCAACTAAACCTTGTTCGTCAAAAGTATTGAAGTCTGGTACAATATCGTCACAGACACACTATCGACTAGGTTATAACTAAAGATGATAAAGACATTGTGTGGAATTGAATTGTATTTGACAACCAGATGTCAAATGGATGCATTTTGATCTTCTTTTAAAACAAGCCAACAGTTAGGCGGATGTCTACCACCGAAATCCGAAAATAAATAGATGACACATATTAATTGCACATTTATCTTTTTTAAACGTACTGAGCAATCCACCTTATTATCTATACTTAGTCTAAGCATAAAAATGTTCACAATCAAACTTAGTCAAGGTTTTGAAGTAACCTAGTAGTGAAACTATACACTAAGTTTCATCAATCTTCATCACTTAGAATCAAAGTTATCTTGTCCCAAAGCATCGACCAATGAAATTGCTTAGCTTTAGCTGGAAATGTTAATCATTGAACTCAGTCAAGACATTCACCTAATGAACATCAACATCAAACATTTAAACATTCTAGCTCAAAAAGAAGGAGAGATATTGTGTTCCAAAACGTGTGATGGACAGACAGACGGACAGACGAACCCATTTTAATATTCTCCTGCTTTCTTCGAAAGTCAAGGGGCAATAATAAGAAAGTAATATGGTTAATCTAGTAATCTTTATTAGAACATACTTTTACCATTTCTTTTAAAATACAAACAAACTATAAATAATTATATGAGGGACATATGTGAATTTAAAAGAGATAAAATGATGGTGTACAGATATCAAGTAAACGAAGCCATGGGGGTGGGGGTAGAGGGTGGGGGGCACTTGTACGCATCTATACAACATAGTTGGAATATCCGATTTGACATTCCGGAATTGAATTCTCCAATCCCAATTAGTGACAATCGAGTGAAAGGGGGTGATTTCGGGCTACAATACACGAAAATATATCAAACAACCATGGGAGCTGACGGGTACAGGTTGGGGCTCTAGGGACCCGGGAACCACCTAAATAACAGTATAAATTATTTTTTTTTGTTATTATTCGTGTAAATCTGTTATATTCTGAAGATTGGGGTGATGTAGCTGGTGAAATCGGGTCTAATAATTGTCACAATTCACATTAATTAACAACGAGCACCTGCGCCACCCTCACCCCCTGTCAATCAACGAGATCCGTAATCATAATATTAATATGGTGTGACGGGTCTATTTTTTAGATATTTAGATATCCGAGGTAAGGCTTCAACTTGTTTTCGATGAGCTGCGACTTTAGGGAATTTGTCTAAGTTGATTGGATTTCCAAAATTACCAAGCATAGCATCTAAATCTATCAACGCCAAATCAGCCCACGTCAACTGAAATTATAAAACATAAAATAATATTAACACTTAACAAAATTAAATTTTAATTTAAGTAGACCTTTCGTTAATGTACAAAGATTTAATCATCAGCCAATGGAAATCACAAAACATACATGAATAATAAAGATGCTTTCCCATGTACACATATGTACGATTGTATTTAAACTGCAAAAATATTCAAACTAATTTATCTATCAAAAGTTTGCACAATTCCCTCTTAAAACATTGTAATCGGTTGAACTACCCCCATGCCGTGAGAACCTATTTTTGGACCCTAGTTTGTCACGTGACTTGATTGAGATAATCCATTTGTAGCTTATATTTGTCGTTAGTCGGTGTCCATTTACCCTCAATATAAAAGTCTAATAAAATGCTTGGATTATCCTCTGTCAACTTCTTTTTTTACACGGTCTACTGGATGTTTAAGTCCTTCACTTTTCACTTACTCGCTAGCCATCAGATCACTTAAACAAAACTCCTTACGTCATTTTCTGCACAGTCTACAGGACGTTCAAGTCCTTCACATACTCACTAGCCATTAAATCACTTAAAAACACTCCTTACATCATTTGACGAGACGACCTGCCAGTTAGTGACACCCTTATCCTGTGAGCCCCCATGAGTTTTACAGGGAATCTAGTTATTTTAAGATTGGGTGTCTCTACTTTCCCAATATGCCATACTGCCCTATCAATACATTCTTAAAGTCGAACAAAATTATATTATCCTAGGAGACTAACATATTATATAACAGAGGGTGGTTTGGTCAGGAAAGCAATGAATTTTACGATGGCACCAAACTTGTTCATTCATAACAATTAATAATTCTACAGCATGCCAACACATTGGGAATATTCGATTGAACGTTCCGGAATTGAATTCTCTTAATCCCTAATGTCCCCGTCAGACCGAGGTGCCGTCCTTACTGCGCTGCTGCGACCGTACGGCGACCAGAAAATGCGACAAGGTCGCCGGCAAACGTTAACACAAAGCGAGAAAATGTCTTAAAAAATTACAAATTTGAAAAAACTCGCGTTCTCACAGCTTTTCAGACCAGATCGCAGAAACTTGGCGTTTGTTTTGAACATGGTCAAATGATTTACAAATGTTGTCCGATTCATTTCTCAAATAAAATCAGATAAACCTTCCAAATTCTAGCGAAGTCAGGACGAAAACACGAGTTGTACTGCTTCCTATGGGCTATGCTGATGATTGTTAATTGTACTTTACGATTGACGCTGTTGTTGAATGGGTGTGTCAAATAACAATAACATTTATTTTTTATGTCCGTGTTCTAGTTCGTTCGAGGACGAACGAGTTTTCGAAGACGTGTGTAGTGTGACCGGAAATGCTAATTTCTAATATTTTCATTTCATGTGTACCCTTCGTGATTCATTATATTTTCGGAGGCACAAGAATTTGGTGAATTTATCCTTATTTAACCTTGTTCTGTAATTAAATTGGAATCATTGTCAATGTAAATTCTATTTATCACCCAATAATACATTCTACAGTAGATATCGCTTGTGTGATATATTTCATAATCTACTGCGATATCTCCTTAGGAGAAATCGCTTTACATGAATTTGATTGGTCAGTTGAAAAGGAACTACTTTTTTTATTTTCAAAGAACAGTTCATTTCTTATTAAAAGTAACTTTTTTTTTTATTAATAATGAACTATTGTTATTCAATTGACCTTGATGGAAACACTGGGTCAATATAAAGGACTTTGCAATGGTGGAATTGCTGTCAAAAAATGATGTATCACTACGCCGTAATGTTCATTAAAAGTGAAATCTACAGTAAAGAATTATATTTATCTATTTGAGCATGTAAAAGGGGATTGGGTGATAAATAAAATCTCCTACTCGTCTTTTTTGATATCAAAAAATATCAACACTCGTTGATAAAGTAAAAAAACTCGGCAGAGCCTCGTTTTTTGTTACTTTATCGTCGAGCCTCGTTTTTTGTTACTTTATCAACTTGTGTTGATATTTTTTGATATCAAGAAAGACTGGTAGGAGATTCTCTATATGTTCCTAATTATGTTTAATGTTACCGAGGCGTTATATGTGATGTACTTATCCCATTGTTTAGCATAGGGGAGCATACTGATTTCATCGGCAAGGATCGGCAGTAGATTATTTTCATGTTTTTATTGTCTGTATTTGTTTGGTATGTATTTCTAAAGCAGTGCCTATTTGTATTTTTATTGTGCCTTAATCATGCCGGAAATTATAATCATTTAAGTATTTTACTTATTGAGTAAATGCAGGCTTGATCAAAGGGAGATAAATGACGGATTCGTAGAAGATATTAATTTTGTATGTTTTGAAGGTGTTATGATTTTACTTACGTGATTGTATCTGATTAAAGTGAATTATTGTAGACATTTTTATTTTCATACATTGTTAGAGACGTTGACAAGACGTCCCGTCCTATTCGTTGCGAATTACCCGAATTGCTGTTTGCTAATCCCCTACCGAACGAATATTTAATATTCACAATATAATTTCTTAAGACTGACGGTGTGCAGGTAACAGGATTTTGGGCTACAACGCATAAGAGAGTATATCAACCGACCAATGAAGACTGGGCAGGTTTAATATATCCGTCGTATTTAATTACGTCACTATTCGACTAACACGACGTCACTTGTCGGGACCAAGAGCAATTCTGCGTCATTCGATTCCAATTCCCTCGATTCTTTCCATTCGGGACGTTCCGGAGGGCATTCGAGCATGTCCGTCGTTTTAGCTGAGGAAGGTTGTATTGGGCTATATTAGTTTGGCTACTGATACGATAAACTTACAGTGGTCACTACTTACAGTCAAACAGATATATAAATGCTAAACAAGGATTTTAGAAACTTTTTAAAAGCTAACCTTATTACCGACAAGAAATCCACTTGAATTTTCCGATAAAGTTTTTTCTATATATCCAAAACATTTTGGTATCTGTTCTTCGTTGAATTTCTTCATCAACTCGGCCTGTATAAAATACAATCAGTGATATGGTGAGATGGCAATACAAGGACGTGCGTGTGGGCTGGATCACTGTTGGACTGGACGCTTTACACTACAGACAGAGTAGTCTCTATCATTCAGAAAAATGTATATTAGTCTGGATGCGTTGTTACATTATCATAAACAAAGTCTAAGGGAGGTAACTAGTCATTAGTGGGCTGGATCTCTGTTGCGATGGGCGCTTTTCACTACAGAGCAAAGATCCTCATTGAAGCAAAGATATACACAGTTGCATACCCGCCGTACATTTCACCCATCTGTTACCAAAACCTGACAGAAATGTTAATTCCAACCCACTTCATCGATTATTGACCAAAAATCAAAACAAATTACCAAGCAAGGGGAGAAAGGGAGAAACAGAGAGAATTGTTATAAATAGACGAACTTCAAATCGAGAAGGTGAATTTAATGGTGGTTGTCTTCATAGGGCGATTCATTGTGCCCTAAATAGGATGACGTTCTGAAAAACTGAGTAAATTATTTCCCAAAAACATGTACTTACTTTCTTAGCTTCACCTTGTTCATTTTTCAATACGACCATTGATTCTCTGATTGCTATCATCTGGTCTACTAAAACATCAATCTTTGCCTTATCTAGATTAGATTTACCAAGTAATCCTGGGAAACGAAAAGAACGAAATCAAATGAGAGATAGAGGGGGGGGGGGGGGGGAGAGATGGGGTTTAACGTCCACTCGACAAAAACTAGGTCATTTCGGGACTAACACATGGTTTTATTTCAATAAACCCATGAGGTTGGAGAAATCACAGTTTAAAGACTTATTTGTCTGCCATGTACTGTGCTATGAGGAAGATTTTCCCGGACAACTGCGTTCCCACCTGCTCTTCGTCGGATTCCACCTCTTACCTGTACACACCTGTCACCTCATTATCTAATGGTAAAGTCGAATAAGGGGGCACAGGGTTTAACGACCACTCGACACAAACCAGGTCATTTCGAGACTAACGTATGGTACAATTTTACATCAATAATCTGCATAGGGGTCTTTCAGTCGGAGAAAACCAATAGACACGCGAGTTTGGATACGCGACCCAATTCCTTGTCACGTATTCGCTTCCGGGTAGGTGTATTTAGCAGTGGGGGGAAACCAGAGGACCCAGAGAAAACCCACGAGGTTAGATAGGCGACCCAATTCCTTGTCACGTACAAGATTGAGATCGAAAACACGCAGTTTTATCCAATGACAGACCTTATGATCTAAAACGAGGAAACTAAATCATTCGGTCAAGTTACTTCCGTCGTGAGTTGATGTATAGTTAGTAACAAACATACCGAATTCGTTGGCTAGATATCTAGCAATAGCAACACTTTCTGGAATTTTCTGTCCATCTACTTCCAAATATGGTAAGGAACCGAGAGGAGTTGCTGAAATAAAACACCAGGTATTATTACTTTCATGACGAAATAAATGGAATCGATCTTGATCAATATCAGATTTACAATAATTTTACAAACAAGCTTAATCATCAAATGTCATTTTAATTTATTACAACCAACAACGTCCAGTCATACATAGGCCTATATCATTGTTTATTTACGTCACTAGTATATTTATTACAACCAACAATGTCCAGTCATACATAGGCCTATATCATTGTTTATTTACGTCACTAGTATATTTATTACAACCAACAATGTCCAGTCATACATAGGCCTATATCATTGTTTATTTACGTCACTAGTATATTTATTACAACCAACAATGTCCAGTCATACATAGGCCTATATCATTGTTTATTTACGTCACTAGTATATTTATTACAACCAACAATGTCCAGTCATACATAGGCCTATATCATTGTTTATTTACGTCACTAGTATATTTATTACAACCAACAATGTCCAGTCATACATAGGCCTATATCATTGTTTATTTACGTCACTAGTATATTTATTACAACCAACAACGTCCAGTCATACATAGGCCTATATCATTGTTTATTTACGTCACTAGTATATTTATTACAACCAACAATGTCCAGTCTTACATAGGCCTATATCTTTGTTTATTTACGTCACTAGTATATTTATTACTACCAACAACGTCCAATCTTTGTCATCCCGAATGGCCGAATGGTAACGACGTGCGCGCTATATCATATGGTCTATCATTGAGTCAACTGGCGGGGTTTCGTTTCCCCGATTGTATGTGGGAAGAGTAGGGTTGCCTGTTTAACTTTATGGGATTTCTCCGGGTCCTCCGGTTTCCTCCCACTGCTAAAGACCCCTACACGCAAGCGAATTATGGAAATAAAATTAAATCATGTGTTAGTCCCGAAATGACCTAGTTTGTGTCGAGTGGACGTTAAACCCCATCTCTCTCTCTCTCTCCCATTCTGTGACTGCGAGCTACAAGATGTTCATCTATTACATAAGTTGCTATCAGCTTATGACTGCGACCTAGTAGATCTCCATCTTTTGCATCAGGTATCACCAGTCTATGACTGCGACCCAGTAGATGTCCATCTTTTGCATCAGGTACCAGTCTATGACTGCGACCCAGTAGATGTCCATCTATTGCATCAGTTGCTATCAGTCTATGACTGCGACCTAGTAGATCTCCATCTTTTGCATCAGGTATCACCAGTCTATGACTGCGACCTAGTAGATCTCCATCTGTTGTATCCGTTGCTATCAGTCTATGACTAGTAGTAGATGTTCATCTGTTGCATCAGTTACTATCAGTCTGTGGCTGTGAGCTACTAGAGGGTCATCTGGTACAACAGTCTATGGACGAGGGGTAAAATGACGTTAAGATAATTTGAACAGAGGAATGGGGGGGGGGGGGGTCTATTTCTTAGACCGTGACGATTAGACAGTGTATTATTACTTACATCCTTTTACTTTCGGCCAATCAGAAAATTCAACTCTGTCATCTGTATATTCAACCCCAGCAGCGGCAAAAATAAGTCTTGGAGTTTCGCCTCTTCCTTTCAAATTAAAATAATGGTAGACATATTTCTTCCCCATTTTGACTTTTGATTGATGATATCTTCAAATCTGAAACGATAAATATTTATTCAGGGAGTTTCATCCTTCGAGAGACTTCTTACTTGCGGTCGTCTTTTCCAGCCCTGAATTGAGCGTATGTGGCTTTACGCTGGGTACTCCGGTTTCAACCCACAGGAAGGAGAGAGAGAGAGAGAGAGAGAGAGAGAGAGAGAGAGAGAAAGAGAGAAATGGGGTTTAACGCCCACTCGACACAAACTAGGTCATTTCGGGACTAACATATGGTTCAATTTTATTTCCATAATTCGCTTGCGCGTAGGGGTCTTTAGCAGTGGGAGGAAACCGGAGGACCCGGAGAAAACCCAAGATGTTGGACAGGCGACCCTACTCCTTGTCACGTACAACCGGGGATTCGAAACCACCCACAGGATTTGATGTTCGTTGGGGAAAAAATGTATAAAAATCTTATCTCTTCGGAAAAAAAAAAGATTTATTTTAAAACCAAAAGTACTAGTTTCTACTGTTCGTAGCTATTAGTTAACAAATATTTCACGAGATTTAAGTGGTGGTTTATTAAAACCCAGAAGAAGAGATACTGAATTAGTGTGGTCTAAAGGTAATCAGATTTGGTGCTAGGTTTTTGTGACGGTATGGTTATAATCATTAGAATGGATATTTGCGATATTTTAAACCATAGCGGAGGTCCCGATAAGAACAGTTGTCTAGTCATTCGGATAGGACGAAAACCCGAAGCCTCAAATAAACAATGGCATACACGTAAAAGATCCCTTGGCTGTTGTAATTCGATATAATAATAGGTCAAAGCGCCGCTGTCTGGATCAAATTTAATTTTCCTCATAGCAAACTGTTTGGTGTATGTCCGCCTTTATTAGCCCAGTCGGAGCAGAACAGTAGGACGTTCTTCCATAAGTTGATCTATGCGTTATTATAATATAGTATATTGTCCTGCCCAGTCACTAAATGACTGTAAAGATTGTTAAAGTAATTATTAATATTATATGTTGTGTTGTACATGACCTGGTTGGTTTACGCCCCCTAAACAAATACGACAAATACGATATTTTAATCAGATACGTTCAACAAACATTGAATTATAAAACAGACATATTTTGAGTCGCCCATTACACATGAAACAAGATCTGATACGTGGAAAATATAAGAGAGAGAGAGAGAGAGAGAGAGAGAGAGAGAGTGGGAGAGAGAGAGAGAGTGGGAGAGGGGGAGAGAGAGAGAGAGAGAGACTGGGTCATTTCAGGACTAACACATTAGCAGTGGGAGGAAACCAGAGGACCCGGAGAAAACCCACGAGGTTGGGCAGGCGACAACCGAGGAATCGACACCACGCCAGTTGACTGACCTGATGATACAGCGCGAACGTGCTAGCCATTGGGCCATCCAAAAACGACCCCCAACCCCACCCCCGAAAAATATACGCCCACACATTTAATAAACTGGCATGGGCTCACTCACGACTGGGTTTCAGAGTATAGACTCCTACCTAGACACATTTCTCACGACTGGATTTCAGGACAGTTTAACCGACTCCATTATTTTTCACTGCTACATAATTATTATAAAATAAAATGTAATAAAATCCATTTTTTTTCGTCCTACCTTTCTGGAAATAAAATGGAATTTAACGGCCTACTTTTCTGCACCAACCGGGATAATGACTAATAAAGAATAATATACTCCATGCAGTGGTCATTTGATGAATATTTTAGGTGCACACTAACGCGTACGCCGGATCCTGCTTTTTTATTACCAGGCCCTTGTCCTGTACTACTGATGAGGCTAAACTACGATGAAACATCCCGGCCAACACAGAGATCAAACCCAGGAACAGCTGGTTATTGAACCAGCACGTTCATCACTGAACCACTATGAACGTTAATGTTAACTTACTATTTCAATAAACTCTACATGTTGACCGACCCTCATATAAATAAAATAAAATGGTGTTTAACGTCCTACTGTTCTTATCCAACTGGGCTAATGAAGACGGGCACACGCCATACAGTGTGCTATGAGGAACAGTTTTCCCGGACAGGGGCAAGACGGTCTACCCTTATATCAAATTCAAACTGCCAAGGGTTCTTTTATGTCCACGTCAATGTGTACACGGGACCTCGGTTTTTTGTCCCATCCGAACGACTATAACAATAAACGAGGGTTATCTGCTAGAATAGTTTCACATAATTTCACATCACTATTTAAAACAAATGTGAAATAAATATCATCTTACCTGGTGAGAGCGTGTGTGTTAAGTCTTTCATACGATGACAATGTACTAGTTCGCTCCAACTACTGGTATATATATTCATAGAGACAAGTGTATGTTTACTTATGATTCTCCTCGAATAGTTTTGCAAGTCATGTTGCTATGGTGTGTTATTTGAGCCACTTTCCTCGTCTCGCGTCGCCTTTAAAATAAAGGGCGACGCACGACGCAAAATTCGCGTCATTTTTAATTGGTTTTAATCGGGAAGGTACGTCACGCGCCGATGATTTCCGTTTTTGTAGAACATTCTGGTCACTCGGCCAGGTTTACAAAAATTCATTGTGGAACATTCAGGTCACTCCGTTTTATTTACAAAGATAGACAACTCGGTCAAGTAACGATAATAACATAGTAGTTATACGTATACGTAGGTTCAGTTTTCAAGTAGTATAAAACAGATTGTTATAGCTATGTGTATGAGTGACAAAGCAAGATTTCTGAAACGAGATGCGGAGGGGAAATGAAATGGGGTTTACGGCCTACTTTTATATCGAATTCCAACAGCCAAAAGATCTTTTACGCGCACGCCGATGTGTACACGGGACCTCTCTTTTCGTCCAATCCGAACGACTAGACAGCTGTCCTTGCCAGACCCTTTGTCCTGCATCACTGACAACGGGGAACCACTTCCTGGAAAAGCTAGATATGCTTCCTTGGCCAATATCGGGATCGAACACTGAACCTAACGGGATGAAATGAATTGAAATGGGGTTTAGCGTCCTACTGTTCTGCTTCAACTGGGCAAAGGAGCATACGTTATATAGTGTGCTATGAGGGAAATTTTATCCGGACACCGGCGCTACGGGCTACTCTTATATAGAATTCCAACTGTCAAGAGATCTTTTACGCGCACGTCAATATGTTAATGGGATTTCGCTTTTTCGTCCCATCCGAACGACTAGACAGCTGTCCTTTTCGGGCCCTCTGTCCTGCATCACTGACAAGGGGAAACCTCATTGGAAAATCCCGTAGCGAGCTGACCTGCCGTAGAACATGGACTAATCACCAACATGTTTTTTATTTTAAGGACAAGAGAAACGGTTATTCATGTAAAAGATAAAATCAATCAATCAAACAAACCACTATTCTATAAGCTTCAACACCATCTTCTATTCAAGTCTATGTTAATACGTTTTGCTTTGTCATTGTTTACTTTTCACTTAAAGGGCGTATAACTCTAAAAAGTACACATTATTGTAACGTGGGTGTAAATAAAGCGATTTATATTGAATAGGATATTAGCTCTTACATTATGTACCTTTAAACATTTCGGGGGGTTGGATGGCTGAATGGTTAGCGTGCGCGCGCTGTACCATAAAGTCTGTCATTGAGTCGACTGGCGTGGTTTCGAATCCCCGGTTGTACGTGGCAAGGAGTAGGGTCGCCTGTCCAACCTAGTGGGTTTTCTCCGGGTCCCCCGGTTTCCTTCCACTGCTAAAGACCCCAACGCGCAAGCGAATTATTGAAATAAAATTAAACCATATGTTAGTCCCGAAATGACCTAGTTTGTGTCGAGTGGACGTTAAACCCCATTTCTCTCTCTCTCTCTCTTTAAACAGTTCGCGTTTGAAATATTTTCTTCGATACGTGCAGTGTTAGCCATTGGAAATATATTTTTAAAAAAGAAACAAATATGAATCCGTTTTAAAGAGAGAGGGAGAGAGAGAGAGAGAGAGAGAGAGAGAGAGAGAGAGAGAGGGAGAGAGAGAGAGAGAGAGAGAAATGGGGTTTAACGTCCACTCAACACACAAACTAGGTCATTTTGGGACTAACACATGGTTCAATTTTATTTCAATAACTCACTTGCGCGTAGGGGTCTTTAGCAGTGGGAGGAAACCGGAGGACCCGGAGAAAACCCACGAGGTTGGACAGGCGACCCTACTCCTTGTCACGTACGGAATCGAAACCCCGCCAGTTGACTCAATGACAGACCGTATGATACAGCGCAGCGCGCACGTGCTAACCATTCGGCCACCCCCCCCCCCCCTCGTTTTAAAGAAACTAAATGTCTAACTCAATATTTTCCATAATATTCCAGATTAAAAACACAAATTAAAATTCAATATCGATCAAATTCAATCAATTTTGATGTTCTTATCTTGCCGTGAAATTATAGCATCCTAATATCCAATATTTAAGACACAATTAACATTTTATAATCAGTACACGAGTCGTGTATTCTATGGTTTTGGGTGTCATTTTGTAATGAATAAATAAAAACATATCTTACAAGACAATGCGGAAGTAAATAGTAATGGCTAATTCACAAACGTCAAAATAATAATGTTTACGTATTTAACTGAAAATATAATAAATGTTGTAAAACTTGTATATAAATCATTTTATATACATTCATATTACATTAATATGTGATTTTAGAACCATCTTCGTCTATTGTTCCAACAGAGCAACACTCCCTTTAATGAAATGGCCAATTAAAATAGACCAAACTAAACATCTACGTTATTTACTTGGTTGTCCAGAAAACCCAAAACAAAACAGGAGTTAGAATATTAAATATTGATATGTGCAGTGAAAGCCACTGAAAATCGAAATATAGATCTGTTTAAATAATATTGCCTTCTACCATACATCAAACTAAACCGTCTTTAACAAAACTGTTATATATTTGATACTTCAGGCGTTCCAACATTAATATTGAGAATTCAGTTATATCAAGGCATCGTTTGTTGACTTAATTTGATCACTCAATATCGATTAGTTCACATCAAATAATCCAGTATTTAACCAAACGCCGCACAATTTGTCTTTCTTTTAATCGGTTGATATTCTCTTATAATCAGTAACCAGGCTATATAAAAGTTTGCTATGTTAAAGACTGCCTTGCCAGAAGAAAAACTCTTTGATGGTTCACCACTTGATACACAAATCTTCATCTTCTCCATGACAACGTCGACTCAGTCAACAGTGGTGGATACAGGTGGTGGTTCTAGGGGCCCGGGAACCACCTAAATAACAGTAGAAATTATTATTCACCAATTATTCTGCTTCTTCTGTGAAACGTGTAAATCCGAGCTTTCTAATAGTTGGGGCGATGTAGCTGACAAACATGAATGTTATATTCGGGTCTAGATGATTGCCACCAATAACTGACCCCCGCCCCCCCCCCCCCACACACACACTGTCAATCAAATAGCTCTGTTCATCATCATAATATTAATGTGACGTAACGGGTCTGTGTTTTAGATATGTAGATATCTGAGGTAAGGCTTCAACTTGTTTCTTGTGAGCTGTGAGTTTCGGGAAATCGTCTAAGTTGATTAAATTTCCTAAATTACCAAGCAATTCATCTAAATCTATTAACGCCAAATCTCCCCAAGTCAACTGAAATTATAAATTAAAGTTTAAATTAAATTGTGTTAAAGATACTGACCTTCTATTGGCCGATTAAATCATCAGCCAATGGAAATCACAAAACACAAATGAATATTTAATAAAGGCGCCTTCCCAAGTACACATTGTACGATTGTCTGATATATTTGGACTACAAACATATTCAAATGAATTTATCTATCAAAAGGGCCTTTTTCGAAGCCGCTTTGTTTGTCACGTGACATGTGCTTTTCGGGGATAGAGCAAGTATGACTTAATGAAGCAGAACAATACATTGCACAGAGCAAACTTAACGAGTGGTCACTACTTACAGTCAAACAGGGGCCTGTTTCACGAAATTTTAACTAAGATAAAATCCAGATTTTAGTAATTTGATTGGATAATATTAGGTTGATTTTAGCGCTTAGACAATCAAAATTGAAGTATCTACTAAAATTTGGATTTTATCTTTAGTTAAGATTTCGAGAAACTGGACCCAGATGTAAAAATATTAAACAAGGAGTTTAGAAACATTTTAAGAGCTAACCTGATTACCGACAAGAAATCCACTTGAATTTTCCGATAAAGTTTTTTCTATATACCCAAAACATTTTGGTAACTGTTCCTCTTTGAATTTCTTCATCAACTCGGCCTGTATAAAATGCAATCAGTTTCAATACAATGGTGTGCGTGTGGGCTGGATCTCTAATGGGCTGGATGCTTTTCGCTACAGACAGAGTAGTCTCTATTATCCAGAAAAATATCCTATGAATATTAGTCTGCATGCGTTGTTACATTATCATAAACAAAGTCTAAGGGAGGTAACTAGTAATAAAGCAACATGTCGACGCCCATTAAATTAATTCAAGCTTGCCATTTCAGACAAATTCATTGGATTGCATTGTCAGTTGAATATCCAAAACTTAATTTTTTTATTGTAAAATTTTTCTCTTCGTGGGCCATATCTATGTTTTTAAAAATTAATCCTAATTCGTCGTCACGATTCATATTTGTTTATAATAACGAAAGAATTGGGAGATTTATTGTCGGAAGGGGCGCAACTCTTACTTGAGTTACGCATGGGCAATGGAGCTGTTCGTCAAATATTGACAACGGTCCCAGACCCTGCGTACGTTGAAGACTGTGATGTTCTGGGTGACCAAGACTACAGACAGAGCAACAAATGACTTATCTTTGCTCCAGTGGTGAACCTAGCATTCTAAACACATCCACTGTACATGTCACTGTAACCAACGAACATATTGAAGATATATCAAACTGATTTAAACGCAGGTCCTATTTCGTTTCGTTTTTTATAGTTCAAAATTCCGTTTTACTTGTCTTTACTACACTAGGATCTGGAAGAGTTGTTATCATTGACGCGTTCTGGATGATGTGAGGGATTAGCCAATGAAATGGTCTGTTACGGTGAGCTTTTGGCGTAAGGTGCACGGAACTGTGGGTAACCCGCTAGAAACATCAATTCTGATTGGTTAATTAAATGTCTGACGTCATAGGTCAAAAGCCGCTTGTATGACCTCTAATGCGACCGCCCAAAACAACTGTTCAGATCTTCATGTAGTGTAGGCCACCGAAAGTATAAAAAAAACGAAACGAAACAAAACGAAACGAAACGAAACGAAACGAAACGAAATATAGATATGTATTTTAATCAGGTTGCAGATATATAATCCATCAAAAATATTAAATGGACGAGAATTCTAGATTTATTGACCTCCTCCATTTTTATATATAACGAAATGGCGAATTTAAAGTAGCCAAGTCTCTAACTCAACATCATCCAAAGTCTTTGACATTGAAAACATAA